TTTTGTAAAATTATATTTAAAAAAAACTTGTACTATTCAAAATTATGGTCTTTTGAACTTTCTAATCAATAAAAAAATCTTTAAAAAAATATAGGCCTATATAGCATGGCATCCAAACACATTATAATAATTAGTATTATTAATAATAATATAAATAATATATTAAAATAGAAAACTGTTATTTTACATTTAAATAATATATTACAATATTACTGTTTATTGTGTTTTTAATCAAATAAATGCAACCTTGAAGAGCATAAGAGAATTCTTTCAAAAATAATAATAATAATAATAAAAAAATACTGACCCCAAACTTTTGAATAGTAGGGCATTATTATTATTATTACCATATAAATGTTTAATTTTACTAAATTTGACATGGTTGTCTTTATAATATCAGGCTTTTTTTCTCACAGTTTAAATGTGTCTAATATATATACAGCTGCCTTATTATTTTAGGACAGGAGTTACTCTGAGGTACTGCAAGGCAGCTCTCTAGGTTTTGGAACAGGGTTTAAATCTTTCAGTGAATCTGTTGTGAGCGCACATCTGTCTGAGAGAGTGCAGGTTAGGACACTGTGAAATGCTTCTAATCTGGAAAAAAAACAGCAGGAATAAGTAAAAGTGAAGGATGCAACTGAATCAAGAAAAACTGAGGGAATTCAGCTGACGTTACAAGTATCCCAAAAGTCACTGTCCAAATTTGCTAAAACAGCAGAACACTGAGGAACAAGAGAATGGAAGAATAAGGAACAAGCACACACTCAAATTAGAATGAGATAAAGGCTTTGGGGGTTTGGGGAAGAAGAGAAAATAAATGAAGTGACTGTGTAGACAGACACAGCGGGAACTGCCAACATTGGGATGAAAGAGCAGAGTATATATGGACAGATGGAGGGGCCCCAAAGACAAGGGCCACACACATAGACGGTGTCACACAGACAGCACTAGTGGGTGAAAAGTTTTTACATGATAAGAAACATTACTTATTACAGTTCTGCTCTGACAATTCAGTAATGAGATATGCAGGCTCAGGATATGACTATTGACAGAGCAGCAATACTGAAGATAATAGCCATCGACAGAGAAGCTACGCTTCATAAAGATCCATTTTTTAAATAAATGAGACTTTGTAGACTCTCAGTACATTAAATCCTAAGCCCTCACAGGTCCTCAAAGAGCGTATGGTCTCCTGCAATGAGGAAAGCAGGACGTGTGGAGCTCTACAAATGGATGGGAATCGGTCTGTGTGTCAGGGTCAAAATTAAGCCCTCGATATACAGTGGGTACGGAAAGTATTCAGACCCCCTTCAATTTTTTTTTTTTCTGGCTATGCATGATTCAATTTGACCTACACAAAGACTATATACAAATTTACACTATACACAAATTTTAAACACTTTTTGATTTATATGGATTTTGAATAGAGATGGCAATCAAACAGAGCAATTTCTATACAATTAAATATTTTAGAGCTAATATAGAAATTTCTATTTATTTTCAAAATTAAGTTTTCTACTTATTGAGCAACTGACCTAAATGGCATTTTTAGGGCATTTTCCAGATGCATCATCATCATCATAATAATAATAATAATAATAATATCACTACATAATTTTCACATTTCTGACTCATCCAGTGATTTTTATGAATAGATCATTAACAGCTATTTTTATTATTATTTTATAGAGATGGCACTCAAACAGAGCAATTTCTAGGCAAATAAATATTTTAGAACAGGAAAACTACAAAAATGTATATTCACAATAGAAATTTCTATTACTTTATCAAATTAATTTACATACGTTTTCATGACCTGAGAATGATAAATTAATTATTTCCTGATATTTCCAGCTGAACTCATGTAAACTGAGTTAAGATGGAAATACATCGTCCTTACTGACTGACTGCACATATGTACAAAAGAGCTTATTTGGCTGCCAGTTTGCTTTTTACAGCAAGCGTATGTTTTATTGCGTGAGAACGGAAAGCACTACAGCAACTCACCACTTTCAGTTTTTTCACTGCTTCTTCGCACACATGCATCCCTCTGGACTCCTCTACCTCCACCAGACCGAGGTACTGCAGAAAGAAAAAGGAGAAAAAGAGAGGAAAACAGAGAGAGAGGTCAAAACCGATGAAATCCACATTTTCTATATTATATTTGCAATGCGTTGTGAAAAAAATAAATCACTGCTCTGTAATTTTTTTGCTGAGGTTATGTGAGAAAAACAGACAGGAACACAAATTTACTCTAACTCTTCAGGGAAAACTAGTCTTGTCCAAACAGGGCTAGTGTAGATTTCAATGAGGAACCTGTTGAAAACACAGCTGAGGATTTATTTTGTGGGACATTTCGCCCAGCCTAAACCAATCAAAATGTCCTCACATGGACACAATTAATAGTCATCAAGCCAGTGTTAAGTGATTATGGTGGCCATGAGGACAGAGGCCATTACAGGATTACATCTCAGTCACAAAGACACTTCTGATGCCTCAGGCTGGAGAGTAAAATTAGGCTGAATTTAATTATGCAAGATCCACTGCAATACGTCCTCCACTTTACTTTATGATACAGACCTTCTTTAGTCTTGAAAGAGCCTCTTTTCATTTCAAAATAATATTGTCAAATGATTTCAATCGAATCAATTACATGATATGCTCATTAATCACATATATCAATATTTTTAGAGGAAAAGCCATTTTGTGAGAATTATAAAAGGTGAATTTACTTATTTGTTTGACTTTAATATCAATACTAGCCACATTCTGGGAAATTATTCATTCTGTTATATCTTGAAATATATTTTTATACTAAATAAATGTTACATTGATACCGCCCTACCGTCCAAAAATTTGGGGGTCATACTTTTTTTTTAAGAAATTCATACTTTTATTTAGCAAGGATGCACTGAAAAGATTTTACATTGTTTCAAAACAGGATTTTCTGTATTCTTTTAAAATTATTTTTTCATCTCACTTTTACATTAAAAAAAGACATGTTTTAAGAGAGTTTAGCATCATCATTACCATCTTTTGACATGGTTTGGCATATCTTCTCGTTGAAAAGTTGTAAACTTCACACAAACGGTTGTAACTGTGTTCCTCAATATGAACCACTTGCCAAACAACCGCATTTACTTTTATAGCTTCACGTCAGTGGCCAAAAGCGCACGTTTCCCAAAGCCCTGAAGCTTTACGGGTTACAGGTGCCAGACATGGAGCGCCGGAAGTACCACTATGAACGTCTGGCCCGTAGCCCAGATGTATACACCCAAAACACACCCACATATTCAAAAGACCACATGCTGCTATGAATGAGTGTGTTTTTTTAATAGCCGTGGCGTCTAGGTCTCTCCGAAGGTTTTACTCAGCTCTGTCACGCGCCTGTTGCTGAGCTTGACATATCGCGTAGGGATCAGATGGGATTCAGTCAGGTGCATTTGCAGGAAGAGGAAAGGGAGGGGCTTCTGAGATTCTGTTCTACTTTCAGGGTTGATCTCATGGCTTGAAAGGCTGCCAACTCTACAGAACAGCAAAGAGAGAGAAAAAGACATTCGGAGACAGAGAATAGGCCAAAAGCCAGAGAGAGAAAGAGAAGAGACTTTATAAGGAGAAGAAAAAGGGAGCTTGAGATGTAGAAGGGGAGGGAGACAAGACTAAACACGCTTATTGAATCTTATTGAGGTCACAGTCCTAATGTGTGTCTCTCACACTGTGGTGCCAGTCACAAATATCATGCCTGATGCAGCACCACTGACCGTCAATGCTAGGAATGTCAAAATTACATATTTTTCAAAACCAGTGAGTTGACTGGACAACTAGTTTAACCAACTGCATTAGGCTGGTTTGAGGTTCACCTGACATTTCTTAAGGGGCAATAACATAAGATGTATTGGTGTTCAACAGCTTAAATAAATAAATTAATTAATAAAAAGTTACACCATTTAAAGTTGACAATTAACATTATGAGATATGATGCAATTGTCAAACACGTCTGTAATTAGTGAAGTACCAATATTAATTGTCAATATTAATAGACAATTATTTTCATAACATGGCTGATAAACAGTCAGTGTTATTTAAGGATTATTTATATACTATCACATTACTTATGAATATTTTGAATTAGCTTTTATTTTTATATATTCAGTTTAATTTATATTTTAGGTTTTACTGATTTTGTAATGTGCTTTTGTCATTTATTTTATCATTATGTTTTAATTTTCCTATATATCTTTAATTTATTTTTATTTATGATTTAGTTTAGCAATTTTAGTACTAGACCACTTAGTTGCCAGGGCAACATTTCTAGTTTTTGTTTAAATGTTTTAAGTTTGATTTTCATCTAATATTTATATTAATTTTATATCAGTGTTATTTCAAATACCTGAAATGATTTTAATAGTTTTAGTTAACAATAACTACACCTTAATCTACACATGTTGTCTAAATAAAACAAAAAGACTAACATGTCTTCGTATAATGTAGGGTATGAAAAATAGATATCAATTTTGTGAAATGTAAAAATGTTACATGTTATGTGTGTTTTTAAAGGGATAAAAACCTTCAGTTGCTGGTCCCCACTGACTTGTATAGTGTTTTTTTTTTCATAATATGGAAGTCAATGGGAACCAGCAATTGAAGGTGAACTATGCATTTAAGTGAGTGTTAGATGATGATAACGTTTATCTAAATGTAAAAATATGGAAAATTGGAATGTACAATTAAATATCCAACATCGACCAATTTAATAAATCATATCCAGAAAAACCAAAATTATACTGATATCATGAATCTCTGATCTGAATGTGTAAATTTGTTTAATTGAATAACGACTACTTTAAAAATTTAAGCAAGGTTTACTTGAAAGGTTAATTCAGTTTCAATTTATATGTTATTAAATGTTTATAACATTTAAATAAAAGTGTCTGTTCAGTAGCATATAGTTTGTGCTGTGGTATCAAAACTGGTTTTGTAAATTGTGAAATTTCATAGATTTTGGTATCGCCTACTAATATCAACACATAAGGCAAAGAAAACAATTTGTTCTTGAGAGATCCCTATGAGACTTTCCTTGGGAAATTTCCAAAACATGCATGTGAAAGTCGATGGAAGAATTTCATCACCAAATGAAAACCAACAGGAGAAACATGGGTAGAGTGAACTAAGACTAACACAACAGCCATAAGAGCCACCCAAGCCATTCCATGGAATAATTTCATCACCAAATGAAAACCAACAGGAGAAACATGGGTAGAGTGAACTAAGACTAAATCAAAACAACACAGTCATAACTTCATAAGCACAAAACATTTGGCAGATCCCTTCTCTTTATGTGTCTGTGTGATGGCCCAACCATATACCCCATCAGATTCAGACAAATATCTTAGTAAACAAGACATAAAAATTATATATTAATATTGTGAATACACTTGGTGTCACGGTGCGCCTATGGTGAGGAGCGAGGAGCGAGGAACGAGGAGAATGCTGGAAAATCAGGACACACAGTCTTTATTGAAATTGACACCACAGGAATCACACGTCGGACACAGGGATTGATGATCAATACCGGACGGGCAACGAGGGGCAGAAAACACTTTAAATACACTGAAACTAATGGGACACACCTGGGAACAATGGAACAGAACGGGGAACACCTGGAACAAATGATAACACAATCAGGACAGGAACAGGAAGACCAAATAAGGAAATAAACATAACATGGAGCATGTGGGGGAAGGAAACACACACAGACACGCAACAGAGTCTGACATTACTGTGGGTGCCCTGGAGGCTGGTGCAGGACTGGGACACGGGGAATACCTCCAGGACGGATCAGGCAGTCCAGGTTGCCATGGCGGCACAGGGAGCTCAGGGGCCATGGCGGAGCAGGGAGCTCTGGAAGCCATGGCGGAGCAGGCAGCTCGGGGAGCCATGGGGGTTCAGGCAGACTAGGAAGCCATGGCGGTTCAGGCAGACTAGGAAGCCATGGCAGAGCATGCAGACTAGGAGGCCATGGCGGAGCATACAGTTCAGGAGGGCATGGCGGAACAGGGAGCTTGGGGAGCCCTGGCGGAGCAGGCAGCTCAGATGGCCATGGTGGAGCAGACAGTTCAGAAGGCCATGGGGGAGTAGGGAACTCAGGAGGCCATGGATGAACGGCCTCCATGGCCTTGGCCTCACCACTCGGCCCGGCCACTACGGACGGACCCATACTACCCCCCCACCCTTGGGCTCGACATGGGAACCGGAGCCCTTTCTGTGCTACACTCGGGGACTGGAGTCTTCTCTGGGCTAAACTCGGGGACTCGAGTCTTCTCCGGGCTAAACTCGGGGACTGGAGACCTCACTGGGCTAAACTCGGGGACAGGAGCCCTCCGTGGGCTAAACTCGTGGGCTAAACTCGGGAACAGGAGCCCTCCGTGGGCTAAACTCAGGAACAGGAGCCCTCCGTGGGCTGGATTCGGGGGCTGGAGCCGACACTGGAGCGAGCTCTGGGGCTGGAGCCGACACTGGAGCGAGCTCTGGAGAGTGGAAACTCCCCGAGGCCATGATCCATGATCGCCGGGGGGGATGGGGAACAAGAAAACAAAAGACTTTCAAAAACGTAAACAAAATGGGGAGAAGGGGCGCCGCTTACTTTCTGTTTAGGTCCGGAATTCTGTCACGGTGCGCCTACGTTGAGGAGCGAGGAACAAGGAATGAAGAGAACGCTGGAGAATCAGGATACACACTCTTTATTGACATTGACACCACAGGAATCACACGTCGGACACGGGGATTGACGATCAATACCGGACGGACAACGAGGGGCAGAAAACACTTTAAATACACTGAAACTAATGGGACACACCTGGGAACAATGAAACAGATCGAGGAACACCTGAAACAAATGATAACACAATCAGGACAGGAACAGGAAGACCAAATAAGGAAATAAACATAACATGGAGCACGTGGGGGAAGGAAACACACACAGACACGGAACAGAGTCTGACACTTGGCTACTCTGAGAAGCATATGATAACTGATTTACTTTAGAATCATATAGCAAATTCACATAGAAATAATACTTTAAAT